CTGTCTCATGATCTATTTTTAAGATCCTCCATGAGCACACTTAAGTGTTCTGGAACACCCACTCTTCCCAATGCTATCCATAGTTTTCTGTGATTCACACAGTCAAATGGCTTCAAACAGTCAATAAACCACAAGAAAACACCTTTCTGGTATTCTACTCTCAGCCACAAGCCATCTGACATCAGCAATGTTATCTCTAGTTCCATGGCCTTTTCTGAACTGACAACTCCCTATCCATGTACTGCTGCAACTGGTTTTGAATTATCTTAGGCAGAATTTTACTTGCATGTGATATTAGTGATATAGTTCAATGACTTGCACATTCCTTGGCTCACCTTTCTCTGGAATGGGCAAAAACATGGACTTCTTCCAAGTGGTAGGCCAGTTAGCTGCCTTCCAAATTTCTTGGCACAGATGAGTGAGCATCTCCAGTGATGCATCAGTTTGTTGAAGCATTTCAATTTGTATTCCAGTGATTCCTGGGGCCTTATTTTTCACAATACCTTTCAGTGCATCTTGTATGTCCTTCCTTCAGAACCATCAATTTGTGATCATATGCTACCTCTTAAAAGGGCTGAACATTTATCACTTCTTTTTAATAAAGTGACTGAGGATTCAATCTTCTATTGATGCTTCTAGCATTATGCAATATTTTGCCAATTGCTGTTGTTGTCAAGCACCATAGAATTGGTTCCAACTCATCAGGACTCAGTACAGTGTTTTTACAAGGAGTGGCTTCGTGGGTTTCAACTGCTATGTAGTTAGCAGTCCAGTACTTACCCCACAGCACCATACCAGGACTCCATTTTGGCTATAGAATCCTTTAGGTTTGAATTTTTTTCTTCAGTTCTTTCACCTTGAGAAATTTTGAGTGCGTTCTTCTCTTTTGGTTTTATACCTCCAGGCTTTTGCACCTTTCATTATAATACTTTATTCTGTCTTGTAACACTGCCCTTTGAAATTTTCTGTTCATCTCTTTTGACTTTATCATTTCTTCCAGTCACTTTAGTTTCTTTACACTCAAAAACAAGTCTCAGGGTCTCTTCTGACATTTATTTTGGTCTTTTCTTTCTTTCCTATCTTTTGGATAATTAGTATCTAATGCACCAAATCCGTTTTTGAGATAGTCTCTCAATTCACTTGGAATATATTATTCAAGGTCACATTTTGACTCTCATGGAGCGTTTTAATTTTCTCAGCTTCAGCCTGAGTTTACATATGAGCAAATGATGGTCTCTTGTTGTGACTGATGATATTGAGTGTCTCCATCTGAATTCCACAAATGTAGTAGATTTGATTGATGAATATTCTATCTGGTGAGGACCATGTATATATGCTGTTGGAAAATGGTCTTTGGAATGAATAAGTCGTTGGTCTTACAAACTTCTATCATGTCTATCATCAAGGCCATATTTTCCAACTACTGACTGATCCTTTCTCTCTATTTACAAGTTTTATATTCCAGTCACAATCAGTAATTATCAATGCATCTTGAATTCATGTTTGATCAACTTCAGACTTAAGAAGTAGAATTCTTCAAATTTATCATCACTGGGTTTAGTGGTTAGTACATAAAAGTGAATAATAGTCATATTAACTGGTCTTCCATGTTGCTGTTGTTAGGTGCCATCAAGTTGGTAATGACTCATAGCGACTTTATGCACAACAGAACGGAACACTATCCGGTCCTGCACCAACGTCACAATCATTCTTCACTTAAACCCCCCACTGTCACTGTGCTAATCCATCTCTTTGGTGGTCTTCCTCTTTTTCGCTGATCCTCCACTTTACCAAGCATGATGCCTTTCTCCAGGGACTGGTCTCTCCTAATAATATGTCCAAAGTACGAAAGACAAAGTATGGCCATTCTAGTTTTTAATCATTCTGTATGCATTTTGTCAAAAACATATATATATATATATATATATATATATATATTTGTTCTTTTGGAAGTCCATGGTACTTTTAATATTCTCTTCCAACACCGTAACACAAATGCATCAATTTTTCGGTGGTCTTCCTTTCACACATATGAACATTATCCTTTCACAGACAGGACCTGTACTTCAAGAAAGATTCTGAAATGCTCTTTTGACAATAAATGCAACATCATTCCTTTTCAATTTATCATTCTTGGTTTAATAAACCATATGCTTATCTGAATCAATATGGCCAATACTTGTCCACTTCAGCTAAATAATGCACAGGATATCTATCTTTATGCATTCCATTCCATTTTTAATGACTTCCAATTTTTCTAGATCCATACTCCATACATTCCATATTCTTATTATTAATGGATGTTTTCAACTGTTTCTCCTTATTTTGAGTTGTACCTCATCAGCAAATGAAGGTCCTCAAAGGTTTGCTCCATTTGTGTCATTAAGGTCAATTTTATTTTGAGGAGGCAATCCTTGCTCCATAATATTTTGTGCCTTTCAACCTGAGGGGTTCATCTTCTGGCAATACATCCTATAACATTCTACTGTTATTCAGTGGCTAACCATTCAAAAGTGACCCACCTCTCCTTCTTAGTCTGGAAGGTCTACTGAAACCTGTTCACTATAGGTGTTCCTGATGGTATTTAAAATACCACTGTGATAACTCCCAGCATCGTCACAACACATAAGCCACCACAGTAAGAGAACCTGACAGATGAGTAGTGGTACACTTTCTACAGACATGAAGAAAAATTTCTTCACAGAAGCAACAGATATCTGTGACACAGTGGAATAAATACATGAGTTAGAATCTAACTCTGCAACTCAATATTTAAATTTTCTTGGGAAAATTATTAAATTGTTGTGAATCTTGTATCTGACCAACCTCATAGGATGATTGTAATAATTCCAAGGATGATTGTAATAATTCCAAGTGCGAAAAGACATTCAATAAACTTCCCCTTCTGACCTGAGAAGAATAACTATCATCTGAAATGCTGAGAAAAATGAAAGGTGGGGAGGACTGAAGGAATAACCGAGTGTAGATGTGTGGGAGGATGCAAAGGCAGCCAAAAGGCCCAATGAAACCCTTACATGTTTGAGCACAGCAAAGCAGCAGTTCTAAGAAAGAACCACAGGAAATAAAGATACAGTTTCCTACAGTTGTATGTAATTAACAAAGCATAAAACCTGCATATTTCTAACACTGAAATTTCAGTATGTAACAATGGGACTGAACTACAAATTCGAGTAGTTATTAAATGGGTATTCTGTTTATTTTGAGGATCAATAACTATGAGTTAATAGCCAATCTTGAGGCTTTTGTCAAAAACAAAGTTTCACCAAACTTCTTACTCTAGAAAACATTTCGGAATTAACAGGTCAAAATGGTAATAATAACAACAAGAAACAGGTTACCACCCTCAGAAACAGATTTTGTTAAATTTCAATGATTAAAATAATTTTTCTTTGCCCACAAGGTTCTGCTTTTAACTTTGACAATAATATGTATGTTAAATTCAAAGCAGCATCTGAATTTTGGCCAGTTTATTTAACAAGGAAAAAATAAATCAAAGTCAAATGTATTTCTTAGATGTTTAAATTTTGAAACAATAACAGGTTTCTGTGACTGCTTAAGAAACTATATAACAGGAACTACATTGGAATCCACAAACAATAGTCCATTTTACCCTGAATTCCATATAAAATAAATGTACCCTAAAACTAATTCAAGGAAGTTCATTTCTTTAAAGGATATTTCACCTTTGTAGTAGTAATACAGGATAGATCTTCCAAATGGCAATAATAAATCACTACTATGCTATTTTAGGAGTCCCGATGTGGTGTTATAAAGTAAGCACTGGAATGCTAACTCCAGGGCCTTCGGTTCAAATTCACCAGCCACTCCTCAAAAACCCTATACAGGTCGGAACTTATTTGACAGCACTTTAACAACAACAACATACTATTTTTAAGTCTTAAAATCATTAGAAAGAGCTAGAGATCAAAATATTATTAGTTTTGATTTAACTGGCAAATTCCTTCTACATCTTCTTTCAATATCTACTGTACCTAGTCTGTCCTTCCGCAGTAGTGATGATCTTCTGAAAGCAATGTCTATATCATGTCTATTCCTAGAGACCAGTAAAAACTCCTTAATCCGAACCAAATTATAAAAATAAACAATTTAGTATGGAACTCAAAGCCTTCCAGAATTTATACTATCTCCTAGACTTTTCTATTACCATAGTCTAGTCCAACTTAATTCATTATCAGACTACACACATCTGGACTTCTTTACACCATTTATTAGTAACTTTAAATAAAAGTTCCTACATTTTAAAACTGAGGCTATTCTTTACAGTTTAAGTCAAATTTACTAAACATACTGAACCCTTTACATGTGCCAAGGCCAGTTGTAGATTCTGGAGTCACAACAACAAATAAGATGTGGTTCCTGCCATCAAAATGATCCAGATCTGGTGTGTAGCCTTTCCAACTGGTAATAAGTCAATTGAAATGTATACATAGCACCTATTGCCAAAATCAGAATTGTAAGCCTTTTAGGGACAGAAATTATGCCTATTTTTCTTCTTAAAAACACTACTATTTGTATAATGGTGGTGGTGGTGTTGTGCCATGGAGTCACAGACATTCAAATTACTTTGTTGACGTGAATTTTGGCTTGAAAAGTTGAATGCACATATTCTGAATCATGACAAAAGTATCTTATTCTGCAAAGCACATACAATGTATTTTAGGATTATATATGGCTGCTAGCCAGAGTTAGAAATCAAAACCACAAAGAGGAAGTTAGTCTTTGATATACAGAAAGAATGGAAAAGACTTCCTAAACAGCAAGGAGAAATGATTAAAGTAAAATAAAAATAAAAAATTAATTAAAAATATTGAAATTCAAAATATTTTTTCTTTACTTTCCAAAAGAAGGGGAGGGGAGAAATCAGTTATTATAAACAGTAGCTGAAATATAATTTATTACTAAAAATAGTCTAAGGATATACAAATGTGTTGGGGTCTCTGAAAAAGAAAGCCACTAACCTCATTAACTCCTCCACTTTATCATCTACATCTAGGTCCTCTTCTGAGGCTTCAAAACTGTATGACCTTTGACTCATGCTGTTTGCATGATAGCGAGTTGGTGACATCTTTCCATTGGAAGTAGACAATCGCTCGCTATTCTCTCTCCCATTCTGATTGGTAGTGCAAGGTTGTGGGGAGGTATCATAACTGTTGCTGGGTGATGGGGACATTCCAGAATGCTGGGTCTGTGTGGAAGCTGTAGCTGTAGAGGAAGATGCTGGAACATTATTAGTACTATTTCCATATGAACTTCCTCCATAGCTGGACCTTCTTCCAAACTTATCACTATGCTCTTGATCAAGACGTTCCAAAGTTTCCAAGGCATGGAGAATTTCATGTTTAGTCATTCCAGTACGTCGAAGGCGCTGAAGTAGATCTATTTGCTCTATGGTAAATCTGGGTTCATCTGTATAGTGAGACATGGTTTCCAGCAAACTAGAGAAAAAAAATGATAGAAAAAAAGAAAGAAATCCCTTTACTTATAATAATCTATCAAAGAACATACCACTATAAAGAATACACAGAAGATGCAGTATTTCTACATATAAAGTAATATCAATTTCTTTGTTGAAAATAATAAGCCATATCAACATGGTAGAATATCTTCGTTTTGGCAAATGAATTTACACAAATATTAAATTTATTAGCAGATGAACACTGCTGTTGTTAGTACAATGATTCAGTTCCAACTCACAGTAACCTTATCTACAACAGAATGAAAACTGTCCAGTCCTGGACCATCCTCACATTCAATACTATGATTAAACCCATTGTTGCAGTCAAGGTGTGAATCCACTTCACTAAGGTCTTAGGGACCAATAATATAAAACCCAATTTCCTATAATTTGCATTGCCCTCAATTTTAATTAAGATGTATCTGAACCAAAATTTCAATTATGGTAATAATACCAAAAACAAGTAATGAGAACATACAGATGCTAACTGCAAAGCCAGCAGTTCAAATCCCCAACCGCTATGAGAGAGAAAGGGATAAGGCTTTCTGCTCCTATAAAGATCTGCAGTCTTGTAAACCCTATACAGCATCACTATGAGTCAGAACTGACTCAACAGCACACAACCATCACCACCACATGTGATAACTTATAGGTGCATTCTCCATCTTGTAATTTTTATTTACATTAAAGAAGTAAGGAAACATTACTGAAGAAACAGCTTATATTACCTTACCTTCCATCAAACAAATAATCAAAACCTGGCCTAGAAATTCTATACTTCCATTTAGTGAAAACAAATCATCTGCTAAACTAAGCCCAAGCAAACACTACTATGGGAGTGGTACATAAATAACTTATTAAACACCATTTTATCCAGTACTTAGCAATTTCATGAGTTCTTCTTCTCTGTAATACATTCTATCTTAATAGTTATCCTGAGAAATGGATCTTTCATGGTTGCAGCCAAATTGAGCTATTTATTTTTCGTAGGAAATTGCTTCTAAAACATGTTTCTTTAAACTAGTACAAGCTACTATACAGTCAGTACACCAGAAAATGTCATTTTAGAGTAAATAACAATATTAACAGATAGGTCAAGCATAAAAATTCTCACTACTCAAATCTTTTCTTACTTCAGATTTTTAAAAAGTGGTAATCTAGTCGGACCCAACTCAACAGCACTTAATGACAAGAAAAAGAATCATTGTGTGGAGCTGTAGGATAAGCACTAAGACTGTTTAACCAAAAGGTCAGTGGCTTAAACCCAATAGGCATTCCTGGGAAACTCTAGTTATCTTGACGGCTCTTAGCAACAACAACAGCATCAAACACGATGGATGTCATGGAGGAAGCTCTCAATATTGTTTGCAGATTGAAATGGATGACGAATTTTCTCATCCTTTACTACTATGCACCACTTTCATTTACTTGTTAAAGATTTCACTGCTTCTTCAACGTTGCTAAAAATTTATTGAACATTCATTCACTTCTAACAAGCCATTGGGTAAAATTTCAAATAACATGCTCATGTTCACAAGAACCTTCTGTGGTAAATATCATTAATTTTGTTCTATATGGATTGATGGCTTAAGAAACTAAGGCTCACCGCAGTTTTGTATTTTGCAGAAAGCCTGAGTAAGAAGTAGAAAGAGGGATTTAAGTCTAGAACTTATGGATTCTAAAAGCATACATCATTCTGCTTTCCAATAAATTTTAGAACTTCTTAGAATCCTACAATTGAGACACAGGCTATTGTACCTTTTAGGTCTCCAGTTAAAGTCAACTAAACAAAACCACTCTAATTGTCACTTGGTGTATGTCAGAAGAGACTCTGAAACTTGCTCTCTAGCAGAGATGCTATAGTAAATGTAAGAAATAAGGAGGTAAAAAGAGCTGAATAGAAAATTGCATAGGACGGTTCCAAAAGACAAAGTCAACTGTTAACAATGAAATGTGCAAAGATGTGGAGCTAGAGAACCAAAAGAAAATACAAGCTGACACATTCTCAAGCAGAAAGAACTGAAGGAAAATTGAAGCCTTGACTTGAAATATTGAAGGACTGTATAGGCAAAATGTGGTGTTGTGGGTAAATGCACAGGACTGCAAAGTTGGTTTGCAAGGTCAGCATTTCAAGCTCAACAATCACTCTTCAGAAATCCTGTACAGGGTCACTATGGGTTGGAATCAACTCAATGGCACATAACAACAACAACAACAAATAGGCAAAATATTGACCGATGCAGAAAGCATCAAAATAAGATGGAAGGAATGAATACACAGTGTCACTGTACCAAAAAGAAATGGTCGCTATACAACCAATTCAAGAGGTAGCATATGATCGACGGCACTTAACAACAACAATAATAATATAGAGATTATTATTATTATTAACAGAAAAAGCATTGGATGCAAAATACTATGCATTTAATATGGTTCTAAGAGCTAAACAGTATCAAAGATACAAGAATAGGGAACAGCCAAAAATTCAAATTGGATTCAGAATGCAAGGAACGAGAGCTACCACTGCTGATGTCAGAGGGATCTTAGCTGAAAACAGAGAATACCAGAAAGATTTTTACCTGTGTTTTATTGATAATGCAAAAAAAAGGCACTTGACTACATGGATCATAATAAACTTAAGGATAACACAGACAAGAATACTTAATTGTACTAATGTAGAACCTGTACATAGACAAAAAGGCAGTCCTTTGAAGTGAAAAAGGGAATACTACATTAGTTTAAAACCAGAAAAAGTATGCATCAAGTACTGTCTATCTTTTCATCATAATAATTCAATCTGTATGTGGAACAAATAATCCAAAAAGTTGTATTATCTGAAGAAGAAAGCAGCACTAGGATTGGAAGAACACTCCTTAGCAAACTACAATATGCAGATGACAGCCTTGCTTGCTGAAAGCAAAAGCAACTTGAAGCACATACTAATGAAGATTTTAAGATTAAAGCCTTCAATATGGATTACACACCTCAATATGAAAACAAAATCCTCATAAATGGGTCAATAAGTAACATCAAAAATATTGACAATGTCAAGGGTTTCATTTCACTGAGAATTACAAACAATACCCATGGAAGCAAGAGAAAAAGAATCTTTTGCATTGAGTGAATCTGCTGCAAAACATATATTTAAAGATATTAAAAAGCAATGATACCACCTTGAGGACTAAGGTGCACCTGACCCAAGTCATGATATTTTCAACTGCCTCATGTGCATGTGAAACCAGGACAAAAGCAGAATTTATTCCTTTGAATTATAGTGCTAATAAAAAATGTAAACTATACTATGAACTGCTAAAAATACCCCGAACAAATCTGTCTGCAAAACAGTATAGCCAGAATGTTCCTTAGAAGCGAGAATGCTGAGACTTTGCCTTATGTACTTTGGACATGTTTTTGGAGGGACCCGTCCTTAGGAAAGGACAACATAATTGGTAAAGGAGAGGGTCAGTAAAAACAAGAAAGAGCCTCAAGGACATGAATTGGCACAGTTACTGCAATAATGGGTTCAAACACAGCAATGATGGTGAGAATGGTGCAGGACTGGTCAGCGTTTTGTTCTGTTGTACATAAAAGGTCACTATGCGTAGGTAATGATTTCATGGCATCTAACTACAACACCAATTTTTCTAATTATAACAGTGAAGAAAATTATAAAAAAGTTCCTGGAGTGTTTTCCAAAACTTATCAAATAAATTATTATCTTGAAACATAGAAACAAGTTTTTAAAAAATTGACTTTTCAAGACTGGGATTCTCCATCATTGTTGGAGGAACTATGCAATGGTGCAACCACTATGAAAAAACAGTATGGTGCTCCCTGAAAACATTGGAAATAGAAATAACATATGATCCATGTAAGCTTGGGTGACAGGAAGACAATATACAAGAAGAGGAAAGTTGGCAAAAGAATGATTTAGATAGATGAAGACACAGGGAAGAAGCAAGGAGATAGAGGAAAATACTGTTATATACAAAACTCTGCAACACTGTTCCCTCTTGAAAGCTTATAAGCTAGTTACTTCTTGTTTTTGTGGGGCTTTGATTTTTAAAACATATTCTACTCACCAAAGTAGGATGTGGATCACTGTCTTTGTGGACTATGTTATAACAATTTATCATGGCACACTCTGAGACTATCGTTCTGAGTCCCCAGTTCCAGCAACTCATTGCCTTAAGATATTAGCAAACATATCAAGGCAATGAATTGCTGGGACTTGGGACTCAGGACCATAGTCTCAGGGAGCTGGGACTGGTAAGTCAGGACCATAGTCTCAGGGGACACCATAGTAAATTGGTATAACATAAAAAAGATCATGAGGAGAACAAACAAGATGGCGGATAGGGTAGAAGTGCAGTGAGGAGCTCCGTCAGCAACAACACAGAATATCAAACCAAGCAGGCTCAGGGAATGGTTCATAACTCTTAACCACATATAAAGGAGTATTTATAAAGTTGGATGGCTTACAGCCAGTGGAATTTGTAACAGAAGCAAGAAATCCAGTGATTTATAATCCAAGGTGCTCAGCTGCTCCCTGAGCAGCCATCTTGGGTAAGACTGAATGGGGGAAGGATATGAGCACCGAAGGATGCCTGACAGAACTGCGGAGATAAAGGTGTAGACATTCTTGTTTTTGTATTTGTTCATTGGTCTCTAGCTCTCTACACATCTCCATTCTGGTGACTGGAGGGAGTGCCTGAGTGAGTGGACACCCCACCCCCACCCCCGGAGGGTTCTACTACTCATACACATAGATCTCAAAATTTAAAGGGACAGTTTCCATGTAAAACCAAATGGCAGCTGTAAACGGCCAAAGCCAAACCTGAACTGTTGATCACTAGGAAAAAGGCCTGAGCTGGGATTGTTGAGTGGGACAGGCAGACTAAAAAGGAAACAGGCAGAAAATTAAGGCATGAGTTACATCATAACGACCAACAGTGGCATCTTGAAATTTATCAGGAAGAA